GGCTGCCAGGTCTGCTGGGCATTCACCTCTCTGCTGTCTGGATCAGCCCTTCTGACAATTCAGTCACACTGACCTGGGTGACTATCCTGCATTTAGGACTCCTGGGCTCATGTTTAGAAAACAAAACGCTGCTCAGATATTCTGAATAGAGCTGAGTCAAGAAGCCATACATTCTGGCCACTGGCTGTCTCGCTCAGGCAGCCACCCTGGTCTCTTCTCGCTTTCTTACTCACTCACCTCAGCCTTGCAGAAGATGAGCTACCTGCAAATACCAGCAACTCCCCTGTATCACCACAATGGGAACCCCCATAGAGGAGAATGCGCATTTGGAGAATTCATGGTCAAACAGGAAAGGTGTGATTAGGAAACTGAGATCACAAAACAAAACAAAACACATGAAAAAAACCAAAATGCCCTAGAAAAACACAAGCAATCCATAAGATACACTAATGAGAAAAATCGATGACATTTTGCAGTCTGGATTAATGCCTGTGGGGATAATTTCCATTTTATCACCCTTGTTTACCAGACAGACATTCTTATTTGGCTGTGTGACAAATGATATGCAACTAAAAAGCATTTGGCTTTTGTTTTAATAACAGAAAAAATCCTAACATGTATTAAGCTAGAAGGGGGAAAAAAAATCACAGTACAGAAGTCACCCGCCAAGGACAAGCATTCAAACATTCTAAGAGCTGTTCTCTGTCGCCAAGGACAAGCATTCAAACATCCTAAGAGCTGTTCTCTGTCAACCTGCATGTCCATGTTTAATACTACCTCACTCTTTCCTGTAATATAACATGCTGATCTTTCTCTCCTAGACAAGGACCCCAAAACTCTGCCCAAGCACCTGGGCTAAAGGGTCCCTTCCATGTGGCAAACTGGGAGCAGGGAAGTAGGGATCTGGGGCGAGGACTCCTTTCTCTTAGCTCTGGCCTCTCTTCTTAGCCTCCTTTACTCTCCATCTCTATTTCTAAGCCTGGTCCTTGTCTCTGTAGTGGTTCCCAGAGGAGACCAACACACACCCGAGAAATGCAATTCGAGTTCTTTCCTGAGCTATAGTAAAGCTCTACACATTGAGATCTCCTTCAAGGGAAACTCAGATTCTCCTCATGTAAAATAATGTCTTTGCTGGTGTGAATGAGCATGTGCCTGTGCTGTGGTGGTCGTGTGGAGGTCAGGGGACAACCTTGAGTGCCTGTCCTTACCTTCCACGTTGTTTGAGACTGCATTTCTTTGTTGTCCACTGCTGTGTATTGTGGGTCCATGAGCTTCTGAACGCTCCTGTTTCTGCCTTCTATCTTACCATAGGAGTGCTGGGATTACAGATGCTCACGAAGCGCTCGGCTCTGTGTGGTTCTAGAGAGCTCAACTCATGTCCTTATATTTGCACAGCAAATTTGCACAGCGAGCCTCCCCCACCCACTGAACCATATCCCCGCTCAGAAACTCAGATTCTGTTTATAAAAAGATAATAATTGACCACTTTACTTGGGTACCTATTAACTAAGACTTTAGTGATAAAACTTGGCTTTCAAGTTATTTAGTCATGTATCCAGAGTTATTACCTGGAAGAATTCTTTCATGCATCGTTGTCTTTCTTGTTTAGGGTTGCTGTACTTCCATTCTCTCTAAATTCATTTAGAAGTAAATTTCACCCCCAGGAGCAAGGACTTTCAACCTACAGGATTTGCCACTGTTTCCAGGAACCACACCCAGGGCAATCCTTGTGCACTCTTGACTTGAGACTGATTTCTCAAGCTAACCATGACCGGTTCTGGTGACTCCAGATCACCTCCTGGTGCAAAAGGCATTGAACTTTCCCCCTGAGTTCCAGGGTGCTGTTGGGGAGGCTGAGATGCTGAACCTCCCAGAGATGAAAAGATGGAGAGATGCATACCTGGGAGAGAGCCAGCAGTACCAAGTATAGCTGTATTTGTAGAATTTTCAAGTTCATGGTTTGTTTGTTTTTTTTAATGCCTGAAATATAAAAGTAGTGTTGGCTGTTTTCAAACACTGGCCCTTTAAAAATTTATTTCCTCCAAATTATCCTCAACAGTGCCCCTCAGCAAACGAGAATTCCTGCCATACCTGCTCTCTAGAATATCCCCAGGTCACAGTGTAGCTGAACTTTATAGGCCAAGGGTGAATTTCTCTAGAATAAATGCACATGACTTTTCCCCCTGAGAATTCAAAGACCCCTGACTTGGCATAAAACGAAACAAAATTGCAGACTTGTAAGTCTTTAGGAGGCCTCCCAGTCTAATGGTGCCCCCTCCCATTTTCCTTATCTTTAGTGTCTGCATTTCAGTTTTGTAGTGTGTCTGACTTTCAGCAACATTGAAATCTTTATAAACCTGGCATCATGCCACGCACCTGTAATCCTAGCATTTGGGAAGCCTAGGAGGATCACTGTCAGGTTTGAAGCAGCTGTGTGATACAGAGAGTTCCAGGTCAGCCTAGGTTACATACATGGTGAGACCCTGCCTCCACCAGAAAGGGGGGGCAGAGACAGAGACAGAGAGACAAGAGGTTTTTTTTTTTTTTGGGTTCACTTAACAAAGTAAAATGTTCTATTGTTAAATTTGCCATTAATATCACCATAATATAAAAGTGTTTACCATGGTGCTCTACTTTCATTTTTTGTTGCTATGACAAAATACTCTAACAAAAGAAGATAGCTTATTTCAGCTTACAGATCTAGGTTGTAATCCATTGTTGTGGGGTAGTGAAGTCAAAGCCATGAGCAGAGAGAATGAATGTAAACATCTTTGCTTGCTTACGCTCCATTCCATTTCTCCACTACTAAACAGTTCAGGACTCCCTGCCTAGGGAATAGTGCTGCCCACAGTGGGCTTGTCTTCCCACATCAATTGACCTAGTTAAGACAATCCCACACTCTCTTTCCAGATGAGTCTAGATTGTGACAAGCTGGCAGATCAGTCACACACTGTATTGAGGTGCATTATCTGCTTAGTCCTGGCAATTTCCCCTTCTACCTGTTCCAGGATAAGGTGATGGCAGGGAGGTGACAAAATGGGAGACCATTTTAATGTCCCCAACATATACTCACTGTATTTTTGACACCATCCCTGTGGTATGCCTTTATTAGTCCTATTTAAAAGGTGAACTAAAATGTAGAGACAAGTGCTTTTTTTAATGTCCCTGGCTGGGTTATCTATTGCTATTGAAACAAGTCACTACTAACTGAGTGGCTTAAAGCACCAGGAACTTACCCTCTTAGACATCTGGTAGTGAGAAGTCTAAAATGGACCTTTACTGACTGAAGTCATGGTGTCATCCCAGTTCCGACTCCTTCTGGAGACTTAAGGGAGAAGTCTGTTCCCATACTTTAAGCTTTCAGAGAATGCACACCCTGCCCTCCTTGGCTCATGGCCCCTTCCCCTATCCTCAAAGCTAGCCGGGCATCATTTCCACCTAGCTCTTTGATTCTGACGTCTCTTCCTCCTTCCTCCTTTGTATCTTGAGTGATAGAAATACAGTTTATTAAGAAAGGGAAAGGACAGTTCAGTCTCTGTGAGCCCCTATGAGCCCAGGCTAGTTGACTGTGTGAGCTCTCTGTGAACTTTGACCCCTCAGCTCCTACATTCTCCTCCTCTGCAGGATTTCTAAACTCCACCTAATGTTTGGCTGTGGGTCTCTGCATCTGCCTCCATCAGTTGCTGGATGAGGCCTCTCTGATGATAACTGGGCTAGGCACCAATCTGGTCACAGGAGATGGCCAGTTCAGGCTTCTTATCTGCTATTCTAGGAGTCTAAGCTGGGATCCTCCCCGTAGACACTTGGGAGATTTTCCTGTGCCAGGCTTCAACCAAACTCCGAAATGCACCTCCTAGCAGCCCCCCTCAAGAACTCTCCCCCTCCATGCCCTCCTATATGGGACTGACCTAGGCACTCTGCATATATTTTACAGTTTTGTAGCTTGGTCCTCTTATGGGACTCCTAACAGTGGGAACAGTGGGCTGTCTCTGACTCTTCACTGGCATTTGGGACGCTACTCCTCATACTGGGTCACCTTGCCCAGCCTTAATACATGGGAGGTGCTTAGTCTTACTGCAACTTGATATCCGTGTTTTATTGATACTCATGACATGCCCTTTCCTGGATGCAGATGGGAGAGAAGGGGATTGGGGGGTGGGAGCAGGGTTGGGGGAAGGAAGGAGGGACTGGAAGAAGAGGATAGGGGGAGGCTGAGGCCTGGATGCAAAATAAATAGATGAATAATTTTAAAAAAAAAAAAGGACAGGGAAAAGACATGCCCAACAGTCAAAATGGGCTTCTGAGCTTGGAAGACAGGCCCAGAAGCCTGGTGCCACACCCTCACTCCATCTTGTGAAAGGATCCCTGTGGCTACAGAGCCCATGCGGATGATCTAGGAAAGCAGCTTTACCCCCACTTCATCGCTGAATTGTATTTGCAGTGACCCTTTGTTCTGCAAGGTGATATGTTCATATGTTCTAGAGACTAGGGGGTATATAGCTATACCACCCTGCATGTGTCTGCTCTCACCCGATCTGAGAAGCTAAGCGAGGTTAGGCCCCATCAGTACTTGGATAGGATGAATGGATATCTTTGAGAGAAGCATCATTTTCTCCTCTGAATGTCAGGAGCCCCTATGGTACTGGGCCACTCTGGTCCTCCTACAGGTTTCTAGCCTTCTATACATACAAGACAGAGGCGCTGGTTTGTTTTACGTGCACACGCAGATGTGTGGAGGCAGAGAGGAGCTTCTCCTCATATGTCTGCCTTTGATGCTACATATTTAAACGTAAAAACCGAGCAAAGCAAACAACAACGAACCCTAATGTCTCCTTTGCTTCTGTTTACAAGCTGGGGCTGGCAGATGTTCAGCAATGATACCAGCTGGTGTTAATGAGACCACAGTAACAGGATGAGGCAGCACCCTGCTGGTGAGTTTTAGGCAAGGTTTTTCCAGACATGTTGAATGAACTCAGGATCTCCCGGCCTTTGTCTTACAGGCTTATGTAGAGAAGCACGTTGTGAAGAATTATTTCTACTATTACCTGTTCCGGTTTTCGGCCGCCTTGGGTCAGGAAGTGTTCTACATCACATTTCTCCCATTCACCCACTGGAATATTGATCCTTATTTGTCCAGAAGACTGGTCATGATATGGGTTGTAAGTATTTTGTCATTATTATTTACTTATCACAGACACATCTAAGGTGATTACCTGCCTTGGTATGCAAGTATCTTGAACAGGTGGTCTTTCTCCCTTAAAACTACTTGCACGAGAATTTGCTATTTGCTCTAGTTTAGTTTAGAAAAAGCATAAAATGTGAGTGCATTTTATTTGCAAAAAACAGGCCAACCTGTGACTTCATGTACTTTGATATTCCCGATCCTATAAGAAAACAAACTAGAAGAGCGGTAAGACACTGGGCAGGGAACAAAGAAGCTTTGTAAGAACCCTTGTGGGGTGTGGGGTAAAACCTTCCAAGAGGCTATATTAATAAAATTTGATGAAAATCTAACTGGAGGCTGTAGAGCAGAAATTCCAAGCACTGGGAAGCAATGAGCCTTCATACATTGGAGAGGTCAAAACATCCTTGGCGGAGTGCCTGCCTAGGGGGTAACACGTGAGACAGCTGTGATGAGTCAGGTGTACAGCAAGAGCTCCCTCCTGCTGTTTCCTTGGTACCCTGTCTCTTAGCCTTGGTTGGGAGAAAGATCTGGGTCGATGTGTTTGTTTGTTTGTTTGTGTTTGTTTTTTGTTGTTCTTTTGCACGGCTGTGTGTGTGTGTGTGTGTGTGTGTGTGTGTGTGTGTGTGTGTGTGTGTGTGTGTGGTATGTGCATCTGTCTGCAAATGTCCACATGTTTGTGGAGGTATGTGTAATCATAGCTAAACCATTTCCATTTTTCTGATTATAGTACAAGCCCTCTATTGATTCTGGCAGTTTCTATGCAGACCTGACTTCTCCCCTAAAAATTCATGGCTTTTGATTATATCTCCCTGATCAGAAGCAAGGTGTGTCCCCGATGAGGGGAGACGGGGGTTTACTCACACCGTGATCACAGCTTAGAGGTTGGGGCAGAGGCTCATGGTCCTAAAAGCAACACCTGGCTGATGTGACACAGGTAGTGTGTTGTTATTTTCAGCAACACAGGGCTGTTCAAACTCGCTCAGAGAAGTAGGGTATGTTCTACGTGTATAGGGAATCCAGGAACCACAGCCTCAAAGGTCTGACATTGGGGAAAGGTTGGGTTGTCAGGTACAACACAGCTGTGACTGTTCCCTCTTACCTCCTGCTGTCAGCTAGGAATGTTTCAAGACAATCATATGTGGCTCATTATATAGTTCAGTCCCACAAACCTATCCATCTCTAGCCAGGCCCTTAGACTGGCTGTTTTTGGTGTAAACAGCTGTGGATAGGGGTAGGGAGAGATGATTGACAGGGCTGCCAGTGCCATGGATCGGGCTGTGGAATGAGAAAGACCTGGGTGATTGTCTTAGTTTGGGTTTTTATGGCTGTGAAGAGACACCATGACCATGGCAACTCTTATAAAGGAAACATTTAACTGAGGGGGCTCGCTTACAGTTTCAGAGGTTCAGTCAGTTATCGTCATGGCAGGGAGCATGGTGGTGTGCAGGCAGAGATGATGCTGGAGCTGAGACTGCTACAGTCTTGTAGGCAACAGGAAATCAACTGACACGCTGGGCAGTATCCTGACTATAGGAAACCTCAAAGCCCGCCCCCACAGTGAAACACTCCCTCCAACAAGGCCATACCACTCCAACAAAGCCACGAGTCCTAATAATGCCACTCCCTATGAGATGATGGGGGCCAAATACAGTCAAACTGCCACAGTGATGAAACCCAGAATGGAAATCCTGTTCAAGGCACTTAGTGATTCTAGCCTGCCGTCTCCACTGATTTCAGCTGAAAGGACACAGCCAGAGATCCCTGGAGGCTTGTCACATGGTCACACATGTGCTATGTATGTGACATTTTAAAGAGGTCCCTCTGTGGTGTGCAGGAGGAAGAAAAATAGCGAAAGATTGGGTGGAATGGCATAGAATATAGTGATGCTTTTGTGAAGTGCTAGGCTGTCTTCGATGATTTTTGTCTTGCATTGTGAGTCTCCCTCAATATCGAACAGTTCTCTTGAAATGAATGCTGATTTAGTGTCAAATAATTTGTGCACTGCTTGCTGCTTGTACGCAATACAATTGAAGGGGCAGTTTAGAAAAAGCTTAATGACTTGGCAAGCATACACCATTTTTGTTTTGTTTTGTTTTTTGTTTTTTTCTCTCTTGTAGATGCCATAGCTTTGGCAATAAGGAAAACCAGAAAAGCACAGTGTTCTTTCCAGGGAGCCCTTTGGGATCCTGCACTTTCTCAATAAATGAGCTTAAGATGGAGAAACAGCGTTTTTTCCCCCCTGTTTGATTACTCACACCCAGCTAGCCGATACCAGTAGCACAGAGCAGTTCTGCACCCACATTTAACTCGTGCCTGCTAGCCTGTAAGGGTTTTACTGCTGTGGGGTTTGGGTATCTTTTTATGAAGCAGTCCTGAGCATCATCACTGCGGAGTTGACGACGTGTCTAAAGAGATCAGTGTTTCCGACGGCCACCTGCTTGCCTCACAAAGAAGCTTGTCACCTGCTTAGAGAGGTGTGGAAGAGGGCCTGCACCTCAGACCCCCTGGCCCGGGGTCAGCTTTATAGGGCCCAAAGATGACTCAAAATGTGATTATCTCCTAATCCCCTGTTTAAACTGCTCCCACCAGTCACTTCAAAAGATGTCTCGGCTTGTTAAATTGGTTCTCACTTGAGATTAATGACTCTTTAAGCAGAGCCAACAATAGCCAGATTGAAACCCCCTAGAACCCGCACGGAATGCAATAGAATGAGGCGTCCAGGATTCTGCCCCTGTCTCTCTGAAGTGGAATCTGTAATTTAGCCTTAGTTAAATATTAAGTAAATGTCTTGATGGGGTTGTTAGACTCAGTCTGTTGGTTTGGTCTTGACACATAATAGAGGAAAGTATTGGTTTTAGTGGAGGCTAACCATGAAAAACAAACAGCCTTCAAACGGACTCATGTGGTAGACAACTCCATCTGCCTCTCTGTAATTATCACATTATCTGAAAGTGATTCCTCCCCATCCTTTTTGTTATTGGCATATATTCACTGTACATAGTGTTGGATTTCACAGGGACATTTTCATGGAAGTCTGTAATGTACTTTGAATGTGCTCCCTCCATATGCCCCTCCCCTCCCCTTTCTCTCCTCCTGCCATCAGTTCCTTTAATTCCCCCAAAGAATTTCACTTCTACTGTCGTGCGTGCGTGTGTGTGTGTGTGTGTGTGTGTGTGTGTGTGTGTGTGTGTGTGTATGTGTGTGTGTGTGTGTTTATGTATCTACATAAAATCTGGCATCCACAAATGATTAAGAAAAATGCTGACTAGAAGCTGGGCGTGATGGTCCCAGTTTGGGACCATGACCAAAAGCAACATGGGAAGGATGAGGTGTATTTAGCTTACAGGTTACAGGCCATTATCAAGAGAAGCCGAGGCAGGAACTCAGAGCAGGAATCTGCAGGCAGGAATCGAGGCAGAAGCCGTGGAGGAACACTAATTATTGGCTTGCTCCTCATGGCTGGCTCAACCTGCTTTCATACAGAACACAGGACTACCTGCCCAGGGGTGGCACTGCCCACAATGGAATGGGCCCTTCCACATCAATCACTAATCAAGAAAAATGCTTCCATAGACTTGCCTACAGGCCAGTCAGATGGAGGTATTTTCTCAATGGAGGGTCGCTCCTTCCAGATGACTCTAGCTTGTGTCAGATTGACAAAAAGGAACCAGTACAATGGTATAGAACTGTAATCCTGGTGCCAGAGACTGAGGCAGGGAGACTGTGAATCAGAGGCCAGTTTAGGCTATCCAGTGAGGCCCTGGAGAGAGACGGGAGCGGGGGAAGGCAGAGGGAGAAGGAAGGCAGAGGAGGAAGAGAGGGAATATAAATTTGAGAATGAGTAAACAACTGGAAACGTGCCCACCTTCTCCACTATCACTCTCACCCCTTAACTATTGTCCTACATCTCCTAAGACTTGGATGGCAGAGATCTTTGCCCAGCTCACTCAACTTCTGATGTTTCACTGAACTTCTGTGTGGGCGGGTAATTGCCTTGAAGCTCAGGTAAGTATAAAATTGGTTGAAACACGGAGTGCAGGAGGAAGACTATCTTGAGAAATGGAGTTGGGCTAGATCTGCATGAGGATTCGAAGTATATGCTTTGCCACATCTTGACGCACAGCCCTCCATCTCTTCATTTTGTTTCACTCTAGTTATTGATGCTCTATAAGCTGAATATGACGGCTCACCCTTGTAATCCTAGCATTCATGAGTTTGGGGCCAACCTGGGCTATAGACTAAGACCTGTCTCAAATGGAAGACAATAAAACAAATAGATGTTGCCAAGTCATATTCATACCACCCCAAAACTAAGGCACATCCTGACATGGCAGAATGTTAGGAATCCTGTTTCTCTTATATCATGGCTCCATTCCATCACCTATAGACATATTATTATCAGTCCCTCAGCATCCTTAGAAAGGTACCATTCTGGACTGGCTTTTTCCCAGAATCTATCCCACTTACTTGCAAAACAAAAGGAAGAAACTTAACTAGTCAACAGGCAAGAAAAATTTGCTTTTTTTTTTTCCCAGACAGGGTTTTTCTGTGTAGCTCTGGCTGCCCTGGAACTTGCTCTGTAGGCCAGGCTAGCCCTGAACTCCTCTTGCCTCTGCCTCCCAGGTGCTGGGATTAAAGGTGTGCACCACCACACGAAGCTCAAATAAAAATTTTAACAACTCTTTCTTAAGACAAATAAAAAAAACAAACAAACAAAAACCTCATCTGAGCTAGGCCGTGCAGTCCTGTAATCCAAGCACCTGGAGACTGCAGGCAGGAGGATCAGAGTTCAAGGCCAACTACGTGAGACTTGTCTCAAAATAAATAAATGCATAAAAATAAATAAATAAAAATTTTAAAAAACCCTGTTTTAAAATCTCAACATTTTCTTTATAAAGCTATATTCTTGAGTGGACATGGGTTCCCCTAGTAGCTTTTTATCATACACACACTCTATGCCGAGCACTATATACA